TTGTCAAATTGTGCATTTTAATTTCGAAATAACGAGTTTAATTGGTATTTTGATTTTGTAGGTGTTCTCCGTAATCGATTAGCCGCTCTCAGATACCAGAACAAAATTGTTTTAACCCTTCAGCTATTTATAAAATGAGTTGGGGTCGACATTTTCTTTATTACTTTTGCTAAATTACTTTTCTTATAAGTTTCGTTAGTTGACAAGAAAATTACTTAACCGTGTTTAATAAAAAATAAAACATTCTTCTGCCTCCTGGTCCCCAAGAATTGTACTTGTTTCTATATTTATATTTTATTTAACGGCGCTTTCCGTAGCTCTGACTACATAGCGTCGGATGATTTAATGATGAATTGGAAAGTATTTGGAAGGAAGCGGTCGTGGCCTAATTTAAGTCACTTTACCTTCATTTGCTTGGAAAGACTAAATAAAACCAATAAATCCTGTCAGCACTCCGGTACATGGGCCGAGATTAGAACCCAGAACCTTCCCAGCAAGAAACAAGAGAGCAAAGTGCTCGGTTTACAGAAGTTAAGTAAATTTATGAGTTCAGTAAAATTGACGGGGGAGCAATTATGCGGAAAAGAAGGCTTCTGTCTATTTAAGTGATGGCAGAAATGCCTCTTCTTTGTGGAAGGTATAAAGATTGAACTATAAGAAGATTACTTCAGCACTGGTGCCTTTCTTGTTATATTGATTATGTTAATTGGCCTTGTTTGTAAATGGTGACTGGAAGCACGATTATATGTCTTCTGACACCACCTAAATTTGCTATAAATTCAAGTCCGTGCTCTAAAAATGTCAGCATTCCTATCGACTGTTCGATACAATATCTTAAAAGAATGTCAACATCGAAATACATTGCTCCTACGCACATCGATTCCACGTTGTTTGTTTCTTTATGTTTTGAGATTCTGAAAGAAGGCACAAAATTTTAATCTCTTCTTTTTCCGTTACGTTTCGCGTTCTCCTTTTCCTCTTCTCCTCTATTTCCTTCTCTTCCTCTAAATCATATTTCGTTTATTTCCTTTTCCTTCTTCTAATCCTTTTTATTGTCTTCTTTAATATAAACTAAACTCTTAATTTTTTTTTTATTTTATCTTTTGTCCCTTGTCTTCTTATTTGTGTCTGCCATCCACAAGTTCAAAATATGCATAGCTTTTAACACGTAAGACCTTCACGGTAAATGCATTCCAAAACAAACACTACTTGTCGCTCTTTGAAAGCGTGCTGAAAGAAAGAGAAAATTATCTTGAAACATAATCATGTCTTATATCAAGACGCATTTTACATGCGTCATAATGCAGTCTCAGTGCTAACTACACTACTACTAAACTGAACTTATGTAATCTCGTTTGCACGGTCCGTTTTCTTCATAACATACCTTAATTGTTGCAGGATTGTTAAATAATTTCATAACTCAAAATTAAATGATTTTTCTTCAGCCTGTAGTTCTAGATCCAGATGCCGTGGTTATCTGATTAACACTTCTATTACGTGTTTGAGAGGTTCCGGGTTCAAATCTCTGCCCGGAGACCGGCTATTCAGGCCGTTTCCATGGTTTTCCGCGTTCCCAGACAAAAGCCGGTCTCTTACATTATACCTCTACCGTTCTCGGATGGCCTAGTGTTCTCAATGTTGTAAACTTAGGCTGACGTAGCCGAATAGAACCTGCTGTCATTCCACCTCGGTGTCGACTTTTAGGTTCGGATTCGGATTTATGAGGTTAGGGTTTCCTCCGTCTTGAGAACTGTGAGAGTGTAAGGTTTTGGGGTAAAACAGTGGGGGGGTGTCTGGAAGACGATCAAGGACGTTATTGGTGTTGTGTTATAATATATGTACATGAACTGGTCAAAAACAGGCACTAGTTTATTGTTGGCTTGTTATAGTTTATGTTTGCAACACAAAACCCGTACAGAGAGCGTACACTGAAATCGTATGACAAGTTTAACAAACAACAATATGGCGTAATAACACTACAAAAAAGAACTTGGACTATAAAACACATGTTGCGAATTTCCTATAATGATCTAATAATTGTAACTCGTGCGATAATGGAGATTTGATCTAGAAGAGTTCTTGTCCTCGCGATTTTGATGTATACGTTTTACTGTTTTCTCATCTATCCCTACAGACTTTCCAAGCTTTGAACTGTTGAATGTAGAAGTAACCCGTGCAAGTGAACGCAAAGTTATTTACCCCGGCACGACAGAGCATAGATTAATACCAACAAAAAGTAAGCGAAGTTCTGTCATTAAAATTTCAAAATAACCCGATTGGTTGTTAGCAGGTGACGATTTATTTAACTTTGTCACTAATGGTTGGACGGAGATATTTCTGGTAATCATTCTATTATATTCTGGAAAACGTGGCTGTGTAGGGGTTTAAACTCATCGTCATCAAAGCCATCGAGAATTACAACTTCTGACGGAATCCTACGTCAATTCAATAGCGTTTTTAATTCATCAATGAAAAATACTTTAATTTTGAGGTGCGTACAGCGTAGTCCTCAGGTTTGTTGTAGAAGTAACGGTGCAGTCGCCTGTCACCAACACATCTGGGGTCTAGTCCCGAGTCTTGAACCTATGCACTTAAGATATCAGAGGGCTGATCTCTTACAAATTTTGTTATTAATTATCCTGGCATTTGATGGTATAGAATCTAAACTATTATCCGCATCTGCAAAGATAATGCTGCAATAAATTGTATTACTATTGAAGACAAATCCTAATAAAAGACTATCATGCTTCGTAACGTCTTAGATTAAATTTTCAAAAAATGTTTGAACAGACATTCTAGTATCTACTGTTTGATTGAGGGTGTTGGGATAATTTTAATCGTGCTTCAGAAAGTCGTTCTCAGTTCTGATGAACTGTTTATTCCTCCAAGGACAGACAAGACTTCCGAACCACTTGTTAAAAATAATAAATACCGGTATTTCATCTAGAGGGTATACAAAATTAGCTACAGATTAAACAGTTAATTGTCTGGATTCTCAGTTGTAAATATTATCGCATGAATCGAAAAGTGATTTAATGTAATGCATCGTGAAGAGATAAAATTGTATTAATATGACTTGACTTGTCCGTTCATTTATGTAATTATATACCCTTACATTTAATTAACATAAATAACTGCTAACGTATGTAGTTATCCCACTGAATGCTATCCATTGATCACTTTTCCGTCTATGGCTTTAAACAGCTGTGTGGCTGTAAATGGGATTGGTCTGTTTCATATCTTCGTTATGAAATTCTCAGCTCTTGGCTTTACAAGGTTATAAATGTCTCTGAAGATAGACTTCTGAGATGTAGATCATGATATCATCCTGTCAACATTTAACTGAAATACTGTAAGTTATTTATGAAGACTTCTCTTTAGCAACATGGTTTGGACGTAGCCATGATCTGATGAACTGTTTCGCAATATTATTCACGAAATTGAAGTGCCACAGAGCAGGCAGACTGCCTAGTGGTACATCTTAGGGCTACCACAGAATTTTCTATAAAATGGATTCAGGTTCGAGACCCATTATTTAATTTTCAGATGCGAAATGTGCGTTAGAAGTTCTGCGGAAGAGACTCCGGAAGTAAAATTATCCCACTAGCATCGGTGTAGCAGAGTTCGGACTGATCAACACTTACTACTACCAGAATTCGCTATTGAACACGATCACGAACCAGTTCAATTCACCACTCAGCTTTTTAAGTTACTTTCCCAATGTCCATCTTAATTTTCTTCTGGGTCGTCCGGAGCCTATAAACAGTGTACACGTGATCCGTAAAAAATGCCTTGATCTGCGCCTACTACCGCCATAGCAAGTTAATTTCGTTGTCACGTGATCATTGGTTGGCTGTTGGATAAAGGACTAATATTGCCCTCAGTGCGAACGGTAAGCCTCTTAAATTTCCAAAATAAATCACCCTGATATCCAGACGAACGACGTCGGCATAAAAAATACTAGGGATTAAATATGTACATAATCATTCTTGTACCCATTACAGAGCGAGAAAGTTTCCATCAAGATAAAAACTTGCCTTGACTCTGGAATCGGCACAACTTAATATATGATGATCTGGGTCTTTGTTATTCGTTAGTTCTTGTAACTTTTCTACATAATTCAGTACTTTAAAACTATCTTTCAGAATAGAAAAGACGATGCAAAGAAAGTTTTCTGTCATAACACCGTCAAGAGTTCATGAGAAGCTATTAGTCGCATAGACAGTCAAGAATCATTCTTCTTATGTAACCTGAAGGTTTATTACCGAGGCCACTGGTCTGTTCTGAGCCAGATGATTCTAGTCCACTCAGTTCCACCTTGTTTATTAAATATATTTTTAAATATTATTTTCCCATCTACATCTACGCGTTCTAAGTAGCCTTTCCTTCATGTACTGGACATTCGTAGTGGAGGTTTGTCATCCCAATTCCAGTAGACCTGAGTGTTGTACTTCCAGGGGATACATAAAGAACCATCTAAGATAGTGAGATATATTTGTGCATTACCATATGTAGAGGTCGAAAGGGCTTAAAAGTCTAGACTACTTAACTTATCATGAGTTTATAACGGTAAAACGCCAATTTGACACCACTTTCTTTTTTCTACATAGCTCTTTTTGTCATGACATCAATAAGCTTTGGTTGAATTGGAAAGTTGACTAAAATTTGTCGATAATTCCAGTTTCGGTCACAATCGGAAAACGATAACCGTCTGGCACTTTACATGAAGACTGCATGATTTTCCGCGCTCTCAAATGACTCTGGGGAATTCCCCATTTCTCACGGCCATTCTCAAAGGTCAAATGTTAGATTGTGGCGATCGGATTGCGTATATTTCCTAACTTGTTACAATACACGTTTACACGTAGTTTTAGATAAAGTTAAATCCTCGCCTAAGGGATATGTGACGTCTCGTTCTGAGATAGAAAAAACGTTTAGAAACTCAGCACTAACCCCTCCTATAAGCTCGTCACGGAATGTGTAATTATCCATTGTTTCAGAGTTCAAGCGTTGGCGCTGGAAGCAAGGCGAATGGCGGTGGCAGTGGGCACCCTCAGACTGGGGGTGGCGCCAACAGCGCGGGTTCAGCGAAACCACAGCAACAAGACCCCAAACCCGTTGAGTGCAACCTGTGCCATAGAAAGTTCAAGAATATCCCCGCGCTGAACGGACACATGCGCTTACATGGCGGTTACTTCAAGAAGGTGAGTACCGCCTTCTCAACGTAGCAATGAATCTCTTTATTTTGATCAACTGTTTACAGCGCAGTGATACGACTTTCAGATCTGAGATCCTAACGGCGTTGGAGATTTCGATGTTGATCTTCAGGGTTGCAACGCTTTGTGGACTTGTAGGTAAATACCAACGTTTCGAAGAGGCAGAAGTGGAGGCAGTATGTCCCTTAGAAACGTTTACCTACAAATTCACTCGCTATTTTGCCTTCAGATGATATTTCTCTGATGATCATTAAGGAATACTTCAGTGAAACCCAATATGTACTAGATACCCCACTAAGAGCTTGCTCTTTCTGGACAAATTTCTACAAGTTTCTCAAACCCTTTTCGGCATTTGATGGGACTTGTTCGCCCTTTAAAGGTTAAATTGGTGATTAGATTGACAACGTTTACCCCATAGGAACAGTGTTCGCAGAAATCGTTAGGTTTTGTTTGCTAGACCGACGAGCCTAACCGAGCCAAATGCAGGGTCCGAAGCGGAGGGTATGATAATGTTCTGCTTGGTCTAAGCTGTTAGACGACTCACGGGGCAGTGATAGATAAGTACGCAGCGGTGGAAGAATTACGATTAGCAGGGAATAAATAACCAGTTGGCAGTTTGAGCCAGAACATGTTTGTTATCGTTCGATGTTGAAATTTCTTTTCCTTATATCTATGAAACTTCAGTAACGCCTTTGCATAATGTGATATTCGCTTCTTGCCTTCGTAATTTATTTAACGACGCTTTCTTAACTGCAGTGGTGTCAATGTAACGTGGTTTTAAATTAAGAACCAGGAAGGAAGTTGAAGAATGTGGTCATGAGTTAGTTCCAGAATTATCGTCCCGGAGAACGGTTGTCCCGACTGAGGGTTTCCACGGCTCCCCTCAGTTTCTTCTGGGTTATTAACTTAAATTACGTCACGATAGCTTCCTTCCATATCAATTCCATTTATTGGTCAATAATCATTTCATTATTCCACGCTATGTAGTCTTGAGATACTGGCAGGTTCGGGAACCCGTTAGCTGCCGCAATTTTTAGAGACTTAGTCTGACCACATCGCGACAATAACCCAGGACCTCAAAAATGTTTCATCAGTGTTATTCTGCATGTTTTCTCTGGTTATTACATAAATATTAATACAAAAAAATTGTAGGCCTGTCGATGGTCTGACGCCCCTTGATGGTAACTTTGTAGCTATGATTTGTGGAAGTCACCGGAGTTCGATTCCCGAAAGGAATTTTTATCTTATCCACCACGTCCAGACTGATTTTTGGGGCACCGGTCGGTCCGCCATATATGTATGCCCACATGTAATAAAATCGAGAATAGGTAAACGGATTTTTGTGAAATGTTATGTTTGTCGGTTTTATTGATTTTTCTCGAAAAATTGCAGCTTTTGTTAAAACCGGACGAGGGTAAAGGCCACTTTACGTGAAGACATTCTCGGCGCGTCTCGAGCGTAACTTGTTAAATAATTATTGCAACGAAAAATGTTTCGAATAAAAGTTGGTTAGCAAACTGAAGGACGTATTTTAAACCGAATACACTTTTTTCGTTTGGTTCTGCTATTTTCAAGATTATTAAGAAAAAGTCTATATTCACGACCTGAAAATCTACAGGCAAGAACAGAGTGAAGGCGCCAGAATTATTACGTTCTGCATCAGTTTTCGAACTTGTTAGTTTTAAAATGGCTGCTCGAAAAAGCGCAACTTACACAACTGTAAAATAAATATGAAATACATTGACTACACTTACATCGTATATTTCCCACACTGAACGTTGGTGATGACTTGATGTGAATGGTGTCCTTACAAAGGAGGGAGGATGGTCATTTTCTGGTTCTTTCTCAGTGTTCGTACAGTGTGATTAATGAAGACTGGTCGTAGTATAAGAATCTAGTTTTGAATTGGGAGGTAGGAAACACAGACCACCTGAAACAACCCTCGGTTCCAAACAATGCGAAATTGCACGTCAGCTAAAATATTGCTGGAAGTTTGCGAAAGTTATATTTTCTTCTTTTTGCAAGTCATGTAGAGGGCAGGGAGGATAAAACCGGATACTCGTTTTAAGTGTGTAACACGTTTTCCAGCTTATAGCCAGTTCTATTCAGCTATTACCACAGCATCCTGATATTAAGTCCGTTTTGACATTACGTTGTTGTTGGAATGCGTTAACCTTGTCATGGACACCGGTTTATAGGCTGTTCCCTTATAGTTCTGATGACAAAGAAACGTCTTTGAAACCAGGACTGGTTCCTTACTGAACCTCCCATTATTATCCATCCTAAGGTTATCGCTGAGAAAGACATGGATAACGGAGTGTGAGTTATCCAAATCCTGTGTATGGGAAGGGTATAATGAATACTCTGATGTGGGAAGAGCCCTGTTTTCAAAGTGAGCAGATGGCTGACTACAAATAACTTACACCCCTTTTGGTTACAAGTTACGAGTTCGAATCCCGAAGTGTAAATGCGTTAATTGTGGTGTTATGTCACCAAACAGGCTTGATTCTGTGGTAACTCATCAGATTTGTATTCTGGAGGTACTCGGCTGAATGCTGGTTGGATTTAACTTGTTTTATAGGTTCGTATTAAGCATTCCAAACGTACGCCAGAGTAGTACATTGAAAAAGGCTGAACTTAGACGCCTCCCGTACTCTGTTCATATCATCTTCACCGATATTAGATCATCCAATACCAGTCTTTGTGTAACAGTGTTCACAATATTTCAGGCAAAATATTGTAATTCAGTAGAATTTTATGCATTGTGTATCAATTTTTGGCAAAGTATGGGACGAACATTCTGTGAAATTCTAAACGATATTTAGGCGTAATGTTCCCAGAATGAACTTAACCTAATCTAAACTGAATAGAGAATTCAAGAAATCATGCGACTAAGAACAAACATAGACCTGTTTCTACTTGTTAAGCCTTGCGTTACAGGCATTATATCTGGTATTGAACAGAGAAGTTATTAAACTTTGAAGAGAGAAAAATCCAGATTTTGGCCTAAGGGTTTTGGAATTTTATATAACACCAGATTTTTGTGCTTCGTCGGTAACACGAGAATGACCTGTTCAGAAAATGACGAACTCCAAACCATCATTGAGCTGAGGAAAAATAAAACTAGGTCTATAATGTCTATTGGTCTTTTGGGTTTTACGCCTTATGGTCTGTTTGTGGTTATTGTTTTCGAATAACGTGCCACTTCCATCTACAGGGCGAAGGAAAAACGTTGGAAACTTTCAATACGCTTACATGGCAACAATCGATATTTTTAACGCCGTGGCAACGTCAAATCTCAGACCTGTAATGTGCGACGTTTCTAGTGTATCTAGTTTATAATTAGTTCGATTATCTGCTGTTCGTTTTCCCTGTACAATATGACGTACCGTTGTTCAAAGTAGATTGCCGACCTTCTGCTTCTCTGCGGATCTCTTATCTTGAAAAATTAAAACGTCTCTAGAATCACAACGGAGTTGTCTTGAAACAATTGGCATTTCGTACCGAATATTATCTTATATTTCTTGTAGTGAATCAGGTTTATTCACAAACACTTATCTTTTACGAGGATTTATGTCAGTTGAGTGGGCAGGTCACAGCCCTTATCTTATTCATTTGTTCTCTAAAAATCCAGGTAATATATCTATATAATTACTAACTTTGTGGGCCATACGCTATTTTGTCTTCCGTCAGTTAATCTTACACAGCGTAGGTTTTATTGCTTCCTGAAAACATTGGAGCTATTATTCTTGGAGCACAAATTGAGTCCCACACTACGACTTTCACACCGTCTAACGGCACTTCACAAACAGATGGAGGATTTTCCTATGGACCAGTATTTATATTTTTGACTGTTTACTTAATATAAGCGACGCTTGATCAGAATAAAACTTACATCCTTGATCAAGAAAACATACACAGCCTGAAACCACATGCAATATCGAATTCTTGTTTCAAAGTCTGGAGACAGGAGACTATGCACTGCTGTCATTTTGTAGGGTAGCGATTTTAACAATTTCGTAGCAGAGGGTGTATATTTCTTCACATTTTGCACTGAAGATCAAAAAACACGTAACAGAATTTTCGAGTTTCCTCTAATCGAGCTCAAATATTAGAAGCGTTTCTGTTGTTAGCACGTGTCTTTCTTTCGAATTCTTCTTGTCTAACACTCCGTTGCACGAAATTTCGCCGCTTTCTGTGAGTTGTTCCTTTGGAAGGCACTGAAGTTTCAGGAAACTTTCTTCGACTTTTTCCTTAGAAAAGTATCGTATATAAAAATCTCTTTGTTCATTGCTGTAGTTTACGTCATTTCACAGCTCATATCCTCTGCTCGAATAATTACTGTGCTTTGGTCTGAGCCAGCGAGGGATTTGTGATTTTTTCTTCGGGAAGAAGCAGCTGTCCTACCGGCCTCAGGTTTCAAAACCATCGGTCTCATGATAAACTGCTCTCTCTGTTTTGCATGAGTAATATGGTCAAGTGAAGCGTGTTAGATATGTGAAGTGCTGAAATTTATCCACCAGTCTTTCCATTGTAAATGATACTGTGTAATTCTATACGTAAAGGCATTATTCTGATTACGCATCTCTTAAAGTTATTCAAATTTTTAAATTCTCCTATCAGACTTACGCATACTCTTCTACATAAACGAAATTCGCCTACTCTTACAGGCCCCATCCAAGTATTGCGTTTTATTATGAGCTGCGATTTGTTCTTTTTGTACTGTATACAGTGCAAATTTCGGTAACTTGAAAGCGAATCCTAAGCTCTTGGTATGCTTTTACAATGATGTGTTGGCTAGTAAAATTTGCATATTAATAGCTTCTAGATCACCAGTAACGAGACGAGGAAGGAGGGTGATTCTCGTTGGAGACCTTGTGATGGATTTAATTCACACAGTGTTTGGGTTCGAAACTTACGTCAGAAGTTTCGATCCCGGTATGTTTGGAATAAGGAATGGAAATTGTTTTATTACTGTCTTTTTTCTG